ATTTGAATATAATTCATTATGTACATTTATATCATACAATTTTTTTTTAATAATAAATGATTAAGCAATAAATGGTTAAGAAGAAATAGAAAACAAAGATGGAAAACAAGATGCAATATGATTAAAACAAGAAAACTAAGAATGAGAATAAATTATACATATATATAGTATCAGTTGATGTAGATGAAGTAAAAGCGGAAACTAAAATTCAATATAAATTTAAGAGAAATCAGTCTCAATATAATATTTATAAATATAATATTTATACGTTATAAATATACGTTCTTACTTTCTCACATTATATTTATAATCTTCCATACATCTCTTTCTTTTCAATTATAAAATGAAAAGAAGGAAGTAAAAGTATAATTTAAATATGTGTTAAATTTAAAAAATGTAGAAAAAAATTATATTTTTATTTAATTTATAAACTGTTATTAGTAATGATAATTTCGCAGAGCTGCATTTATATGGAAAAAAATGTATATAAATTTTTAGTTAACAATTTAAAAGGTAGTAAGTAAGTCTGAACAAATATTTTTTTGTTTCATGAAGTTTACTATTTATTAGCACAATAATTATCGTTACATAGAATATTCATAATCTTATGTCTCCAAGTGATTGATTAATGCAAATACATGTTACGAAACGTAACGATACAAATACATATATTTATATCACAGTCGTAGATAATGAAATTAGTATTAATTCGAAGTTACAGTATTTTTATTTAAATGCCTAGAATAATCGCCCAGATTTTCTCCTGAAAAAAACTTACGACTCACGTGACACAAAGTGTGCGTACAAATCCTGCAAAAACCATTACATACATCTCGGATATAATATGGTAAAAAATTCTTCCGGGCGAGCCTAACTTAGATATAGTGACACGCTAATTAATCTTAATCAGTAAAAGTTTGATTCGCAATGGATATAAGCGCGTTTCTCCGCCCAGCGAAACAGAAGTTTCGAAGCGATAAACGAGGATGATGCTGAAGGGACGTTCGCGTATATGATCGCAAGGATAAAAATCAAGTTTTAATGACACTATTATTACATAGGTACCTATTGTTAACTATTCCTATATTTGCGGGATGGTGAAACCAGTCTTCTTACAAATGTCGTAAAACGACATTCTCTCGCGCGACTTTCTTGGGAAAAATACTTATCTTTATTTTCAGTTATGGACCAAGTACGTCTAAGTGAAATAATACGAAAGAAAGATTGAAAAAAGCTACTTAATATGAAATTAAGATATAATCGATTGTATTAAAAGAATATTTGTGGAGAACTATAAATTCGAGATATAAAGTTAAATTGTCTTTGCAAGGATAACATTTACACTGCAATGTGGAACGTCCCAGTTTGACCCAAGAACGTTTAATTAAAAATCAGTTCTTTAATATTATTTCACTTGGATAGAATTGATGATTGTAGATCTTCATAGTTTAACATTTTATCAAGCGTACACGTTGTCGACATCAAGATCGAGAATTTCTACCGAAATCTACGGACACATTAACGACGACTCGAAGGAAGTAGGATTTGCTATAAATGGACACGTCAATCCGACTAATTCTACCTAATTAGTAATCTAATTAACATCGTAATGTGTTAAGCGAGCGTTACGAGCCTGGAAACACGCTGGTCAATTTGCTGTAATAATCTTAATTATGATGTGGATTGTGGCTTTTCAAGTCTTATATCAAGTGGAAGCGCATGATACTCGAACTTTCGAATATCAATTAATTAATCTGTTATTTTATTGACTCGATCACTGTTTTGGCACAATAATTGTTTCCAGTACTCGCCGTCGCTTTTTAATCTTAGTTTATTTTGCATTTCAATGTTCGGCAGTATTTCGTTCTTTGATTTATCGACTCCTATGTCGCTTACTGAAATCGCGCATCAATCTTACGTACTTATAATTACGAATCCACAACATAGAGACGTTAATGACTTGTTTTACGTTAACATTCTACATTACGAAGAACTGGCTCTTCGTTTCGATTGTGTCAGTTTCTTTTTTGACGTCTTGTCTAACATTATTTCAATTACTATATGTCATAATATTTCGAAACGCCTCAACTCTTCGCTGATCTAAATCATGTTGCTGCAACATACAGCGAATTAGCGGCAAGTCTTGTCTTTCTTCGATCAACAGTAAAGCAAATAGATTTTTTTCTTCAATTATGAAGATAATTGCCATTTCATCTTTAAGTCTTTCTTTTTAAAGTTATTGGCATTTTACGGTGAATGCAATCGGGAAAGCATTAAACTTAATTTTGTGACCGGAAAGCATTAAACTTAATTTTGTAATGATACAATTATTCATGCTTTGAAAGTTTCTTAAACGTCGTTTTCACCGCGGCAGCGCGCGTCTTTAATTACAAACCATACGGAAGAATCATACAATTCTTCCACTCGATAACGAGAAAGTTTTCTTTTCGCAGTGAATAGCAACAATGTGCGTACAACCGATACGATGCCCCCGGAAATACATTTTGCATATATTTGCATGATTCTTTCTAATCGCATGCTCCGCTGTTTGGTTTTTGTGTCAAGGTTTCGCGTCTTTGACATTCCATTACGAAAGCGCTTGTTCTTCCCCTCACATTACATCGCCGCATTTGAATTGTAAAGTGCGACAAGACGATCGGCCGTTCTGCTTTCTTGAATCTCTAAAGATCCTTTAAGATAGGTACGTAGAACCATCGTACACGCGAAATAATATAAAGAAAAATTTCTCTACTTTACACAAAGTAAAAAGGCCGTAAATGTATTATATATACGTAATTAAAGTGAATCTATTTCTATCATTTACATATCATTACCTTCAATTTTTTATTTTGATTAATTTTCTTTCTTTACTTTATTCAAAAATTAAAAGTTTAACACCAGATATTCATGCGGTGTATTAATAATAATGAAATAATCTATCAAAAGTGTTCTCCGGATGCGAGAACGATTTATCACGAATAGATCATTTATCGCCGTAATGTTCGATAAAGACTTTCTTTGCGTCTATAATAAATCTCACGACATCGATAGTTACAACTTGAAGGACTCTCCGAAGAGAAAGAGAGTGGGATGAGACTGGAGAGTCTCATCAGAAAGCCTCGAGGATACTTTCTGTTTCGCCCGAAGCTGCAGTCAGAATTCACAGCCGGGTGAACATCAATCGCAGTCACTTTCAAGAGTACTTAGAAGGATTGATGAATGTTCCGCCTTGGTCTGCGGACAATCTCGTAATTTGCGCGCGTGACACTAACGGATTAGTCTTCGGAGAAGACACAAATCTCCTTCCTCTTGTCGCGTCACAAAATTGTTCGCGCTTCTTTGTCTCTTCGAGATCCTTCGAGTTTCAATTTCTTGGTTCCTCATATATCGCGAAATTGATTCGGTCGATGCGCGAGAACGAGGATGACGCGGAATCGAAATTCAGCGCGACTTAATTCTTACTAACTAGTTGGCTGATTATATCGGGAGAGATACGAGAGAAGATAAAGATGAATCCAAGTAAGACTACAAGAGCCGCGAAGGCTCTTCGAGAAAAGTATCCGCCTTCTCTTTTTGTCGTTAAAGCTTCGTCGATATATCTCCTCCCCGTCTTGGGTCTTAGACCTTCTATAACTACTTTGGAGGAAGAGCAAGAAGATAAAAGAATTTCCGATGGAATTCTTGGCGGTGTCGCCTTCTATTATTCGCCTCCCTTCGACAGCTCTCAAAATTCGCGATCCGAGACGCCTGTGTGCGAGTGTCTTTATAGATTTTATCTCTTCTCTCGCACGCGATATTAACCGGATCCTTCTTCCTCGGTGCGATTACTTCCGAAGAAGAAGGCGGGAGTCAGGCGTCGCGCTGCGTCGACCCTATGAGAGCTTGGAGGCGTCAGGCTTGTCTCAGAAGTTCGCTTCCAGCGAGTTCTCCAGCTCACTCAACGCTGGTACCAATGTCTGCAGCGAGAAGTAACGCGAACGATCGGCCGCGTCCACGCTGGTCACATGCTGGAACTGACACGGCTGACTGATGTTGCTCTTGGCCGGTAGCACTATCTTCTTCTGCACTGGTTTCTTCTTCTTCTTACCCGGAGCCGATAGGCTGATGTTCTCTGGGCAGGACACGAGGCGCTCTATGTGTTGCCACAGATCGTTCGCCGCCTTTGAGTTATCGAAACTGAGCCCAGCTAAGCGAGTGTGATCCGACGAGAGACACATCGTGTGGAAAGCTGGTCCTGACACCTGCAAATATTCCGATTGCTTTTATCTCGTGAAATCGCGAAAGATCGAAGATAATGTAATACAAATCGTATTTTCCCGCTACGAGCAATTCCTTTGACGCATCGCTCTAAAGATTTAAAAAATACTTGCACGATTCATACTACACCGTACTACTACTTGTGTTTTATTTCGTCTGGCAAGCACGTAAGAAATTTGAAACGGCATTAAATGTCCGATGCTGAAATTTAATCCGCTTTGTAATGTAGCACTCCGTAATCTATCTAACGAGATAAACAAGCTTGAACACGTAAATGAATTATTTAGGTTGTAGTCTGTCATTACCTCTCGAATGTTACATTGTAGTATGAGAATACTAATCACTTGTCACTACTAATACTGGAGATTATGTATATTTTATATTATATAATAATACATTTAGAATAATCCTCCTTTCGAAAACATATTGTTAGAGGCAAGCATGTTGTGAACAATCAACGATAATACCTTGTACGATGAGAGGTTGTCGATAGTTTCACGCCAGAGAGTGAAGCAAGTACCGCGTTCTGCCAATAATATTTGAATCCGTCTCTTGGATCTTGATCGTGTCTCCCCAAGATCGAGAACTACCACGGGAATTCCAGTGAAACGGAGCTCCCACCTCTCTGTTTGAGAGGCGCTACCGAGATATAAATTCGCCAGTGATTCACAAACGAATACCTGCGAATCATAAAACACGAGATATTATCCCTTAAACAATGTATTCAGGCTCGCGGCTAGATTTTATAGTACTTATCTATACGATTCATTTCATACATCCTTCTTAATTTATTATTTTTTTAATCAACGCGTTTATTGGACGTGTAGTTTATTACATTTTGTGCAAAGCTCACCTGTGATTTTAATCCTCGGAAGAAAGTCTCGAGCTGTTCTCGTTCCACCTGGCTAACTGGATCGAGACGAGACTCATCGCTGTTCTCGGAGCTGTCACTACCCTCGTAACTCGACGTTGCGGAAGTATCCGCCTCGCCCGTCGAGGATAATCGTCTTCGCGTGGTGCCGCTATATTCGCTGTAATAGGATGAGCTGTGTAGCGACAGATTCGACTGCAATGCGGGACAAGATGACGCATAAACTGGTCCGTTCATTGTTTTCTGCAAGTAAAAGAAAAAGGAGACGAATAATATAAATAAAAAGTCGACTGTTTTGTTATGACAGTAATTTTCTCTCTTTTATTATACACTTTTTTTTATTACGCGATGCTCTTTTATAGACGAAGATAAAACTTCTACGGAATTTATTGTGTAACTTAATATTCATTATGCAATATTGAAATACATTAGGTACAGAGAGAGTTTATTATTTTGCGGAGGGAGGGAAACTGCTTGCCTTCTGCGAGCGCGCACGAAAGCTCATCGATTTCTGGTACACCCTGGATTGTGCGAGCAACCCTGGTACCATCCTATAAATATCCGCGACCTCTTTTATTAAGCACAAAAATTTTGAAACTGTCATCGGAAAATGGATTTGTTTCGAAACAAGAGTATCGAAACAAAACTACAATTATAACATAATTTAATCTATTTACATATTTAACTATTACTTTAAGAATCAAGAGTTTACGCTAATATATAATACTATAACTAGTAATTACTCGAGAGTGTACATATAAAAAATTTAAAAATATTTTTAATACAAGAAGAGAATTTTTTCTTAGAGTTTACCCTGAAAATATGATAGTCGTGAGAAAACATTGTATTTCGGGGAGAATTTTAATATAAAAATAATATAAACGCAAAAATTTTTTACATTTTTGCGTTTTGAAAGGATGTTTAATTACTGAAGATGGCCAGATTGTGGCCGAAACGTTTAATCGCTTATTTATTGATATGGGTATTGATTAACGCTTGAATAATTCATTATTGAATAAAGTTTTAATCATCACAACCGACAATCTGTGCTGTAGTTTTTTATGTTCTTTGTTTTTTTAATTTTTAAAATTATAACCACTTTTATTTTAGAAAGTTTGATTAATTTTACTGAAGTGTATGGTAAAAATCTTTAAAATATTGTATTGTATCACAACTACTATATTTTCAGGATAAATTTTAAAAGAAAATTTTCTCCGTGTATAAACTCAATCAAGTCAATGAAATCTTAAAATTCAATAAAATGTTAAAAAATGTTTTGTCATGATATTGAATAATATTAAAAGATACTGCAAATTGTTTGTTATACGTGTCATAGCATAAAAACAAAATTTGCAAAATAATAAAATCAGGTCGATGAAATTTTACGTGAAATGATGTAATGACGTGAGTATGATGTAAATATTGTAAATGAACGAGAGCATTCGCAGGGGTGGAGGACCCCTTCACGCTCCTCCGACGTCTGACCTCAGAGGTGAGAAAAACTAGGTCATCGACTTCGATACTATGATGACGCAAGAGAGAAAGAGACATATATACGCATATATAAAATGAGAGAGGGAGAGAGATGCCGGCAGCCGACTCCGTGAGAGAGCTAATCAGCCAGCAGCATCCAGGGTCGACCTACTTAATGCACGCGAGAAAAGCCCGGCCTTAATTCGATTGGCATGGCATTAATGAATCAGCCGGATGACTAATCTCGCTATATATAATATATATATATATATATGTGTCATTGGTTCGATTCTAGGAAGTAATTTTACTACAGGTTGACGATGACGACGACGACCTCGTATCCCTTCTCATTCATTGATGATGACGCTTTGATGCGTGATCATGTTAACAATTCCCTGGCACTTGACGAATGCGTTCCTTCGTTATTCACGATCGTTACTAACGCATTGCTACTAATCTAGTCAAATCTAGTCTTATTAACTCTTAAACGAACGAATAGAGAAATGCTAATAAAAATTTATTTTCTTAATGGAACGTAAAACGATGCAATTATTTATGTATTGCACAGAGAATAAAATTCTCTCTCTTTTTAGTTTTTATTTATATTTCATGTACTGTAAAAACATACATATTTTAACCGCATGTCATATTTGTTTCACTAAATAATAGATAATTTAAATTTTTCAGTTCGGGTCGGTAAAATAGAAAAATGTCATATTGAATGTTTATTAGATTGTATAATCAACAAAAACTTATTTTAAAAAATAATCATAGGACGTGTAGTATCAAGTTGAATCTTCCTAATAATTAAATTAAATATTAACAAATATAAAGAGAAATTCGAGAGCTGCTTTCTTTTCTTGAATGTATACGATTGGAATAATATTGAACAATATGTTAAATTGTGATAAAGCATTTTCTAAAACTTGTTTTTTATAAGCTGGAAATAAATAGACTTGCTTTAAGTCAGTTGACATCATACAACGTATAATTTAGCAAGGCATTATCTTAATTATGTAAATCAAACAGGAAAGTCTTAATAATATATCGTTTAAATAATATATCCATGACATATCGCGTTAGACACAATTCTGTATTGTAGGTAACGGATTAATATATCAATATTGATTTATGTAAATTTGATACGTTCGTATCGTATTCATGGAAGGAACGTACAAATACTGGGAATACCGGTAGAAGAGCGACTCTCCCTTTCACAATCGACCCGCATCTATCGGTCCGATACCAGACATCGGTATCATATGCGTGTGATGAGATATCACGGTGGTGCAGTATAACGATACAAATTGAAATACGAACCGGTCCATGTCCCGCGTGCGAGAAACGCACACCGGAAGTGCATTGTCCACGTTACGTACCATAGGGGATGTGCTATTGTGATAAGAGCCCAGCTTCGTTTCGCTTCTAGATAAAGTACAGATAATTACGATGGCTCACCGTTGCTCTGTATTCTCACGAAGCAGACGCGCACGCTCTCGCTTGGGAGGCAGAAAATAATTATCAGGTGGATTAATTGGATCGCAATGCAGCGGTAGACGTAGTTATGAGACTTCCTTTCTTCTTCGAATATAAAAGTATTTCAAGATTCCATAATTTTCCTACCACTTTTAATAGATTCCTTGCATTAAATTCTTAATTGACATCAGTAAGAAATTGCGAATAATATAAAAGTATGAATAATACTGTTAAACAAATTATAATTAATTTATTGAAAAAAATATTATATAAATGTAATTTTTATTTAGTCAAAATACTCCTAAACGATGTTTATCTATTAGTAACTAGATAAAAAAAAGTTAGAAAATTATAATATTTTTTAATCATTCAAATCGTTCAGATGTGTTCAAATTAATTAACTATTAATTAAATTAATTAATTAACTTCATAAATTTAATATAAAATATATTACAAATTCATAGATTTTTACAAGAAAAATCCTTTTCCTGAAATAACTAACATTTATTAAATGGAATATATAAATGTATAAAAGCGTATTCATTTTTACTTGTATAATTATAATTATAATTTAAAACGCATCAACGCATCATTTTTATTCCGATTTTTCAATGTGCTGACGTGGAAAAAATTCGCTCAGTTAACATTTAACAAATACGTCTAAATTTTTTGTCCCAGATACCGGAAATTACATAAACGTTCGTGGGGCGATTGCGAAAAGCATTAGAAAGTGGGACAACGTATCTTATCGCTTTGTGTCAATTAAGGAGTGATAAACAACGCGAAATGCATTTATGGGAAATTCGAGAATGCGACGCGACGGTGTTGGGTTAATTGCGAGTAAAATTCCGCGCATGCAGGATGCATCCGGACGGCGAATCGTCGTGGGCAATCCGGTGGAAGTCGACGCCGCTGTGGTAATTGTGCATCATTAGAGACTCGAGACGAATTCACTCGTGAGTGAAAACCTGTTTATGCTAAATGAACCTTAAGATGGGGTGTAGTTTTTAACATGGTTGAATTGGAAAAACTTTTGTCTCTCAGACCATATTATATTTTTAATAATTGTATTCAACGTAATGCAGATTACAATTATTCACATTCAGAATTTAGTAAAAAAAAGCTAGCATGAGTGCTTTGAATAATCGTTTTACATATTCTATTATATATTTTTCTAGATTCTATATATTTTATTATATACATTTTAAAGAATAATTCTAAATTGTACATATACGATATCGATCTCTCCGAGAGATACACACACATGTAAAGCTTGATAACGAATATATTAAAAACACTATTTGTGATTGTATCGCAGTAATCGAAATATTATTGATATCAGAGTTGTTGTGTCCCGCCTAAGTAGTTCTTTAAAACACAATATCGAGATGTCACAATCTCGAGAAATTATTCTAAGTAAATTCTCCGAGCGATCGTTTGGCCGAAGAGATACGAAATCGCGCGGCGATTACTTCGTTCCCAGGACAATAGACAAGTGCGTCGTCTGATTGTGGATGAAAGATTAATTACTGCCGGACTAATTAGTTTTGTGGTTGCAGCGGGGATACATACTCGGGCTGGAAATTTATAGCTCGTCCGGTGCCGCGCGCGTTCCGTCGAGCGTAAAACGTGCTCGCAATTAAAAGTAGGTAACCCAGAGGCCTTGTCTGCTCTATTGTCGGCCTGTCCGGGTTAGAGCGCCAACTCTTCCGCGGGTCATTCGTTTTGATTAGCTGTACGTTTAATTGCTTTCTTTCACAAGTCACGCGGAAATTTGGCGAACCTTTGTTTCGCCAAAACACCATAAATATTGGTTAACGCTAAACCGTGGTTTAACTGATACTACTACTTTTTTATTATATTTTTTGGAGAAACAGGAAAGTGAACAGACATGTAGGATTATCACAAATCTCGGTTGACTTTGAGTAAAATTTATATAAACTATAATATAACTCTAATATAAATGTGGAAGCGAATTGCAAGCAATGACACTTTTTTGTTTGTAAAATTTGATTATCACATAATGTGATTAAGATATATAGAAATATTCTTCGGTAATTTTCTCATTTTTTACTTAAAGTTATTTGACTCCGATACTCGAACATTTTCAGAATGCTATTTTAGGTGCGGCAATGCATCTCGTAAAACCATCCCTACAATGACGAGAGATTCAGACGTGTCTCTCTGCTCGTGACATCCTTCTCGGATATTTCTCATGCCTGTTGCGTGAAACTCTTCTCTACTCTCGTCTCTTGGCAGAAGCATCCTCTCCTTCGCACCGTCTCTCAGAACGG